TGACTGGGTTTCAAAACTTTGAGTAAACAACAAAATTACTTAAAACTGAAGATGTTTACTACAGGGCCAGGACTAAGATAACATCACAATATGTCCAAACATTTATTAAACCATAAAGCTGAAAGAGATGCCATAAATAGCCTATAAATAATCTTTATTATATGTTTTCACTTTGTGAGAAAGTACAAAGCAGATATATTTAAGCTAGAAGCCAGAATACCTGGTTTTAAAAATCCATCTTAATTCCATATTATGCTTTTCTTAGATTTGAAATGAATGGTAGAAGCAAGAAAACAAATTATGAGGTGATAGACTATCAGAGCTAAATATACATCTTATCCAACACCAATTTAGATTTGTTAGCTAGCAAAAGTGACCTGTGGCAATGATAGGAAGTATTTATTTGTAAAAACAAAGAATCTAAGTGTTAGTGAGAACTTTATTTGCTCCATTGCTTTTTTTCCTTACACAGACATTCCTTTTACAAAATACTATATTTTCCTTCTTTTTTCACATTTTATTCATTTCCAGTTAAATAAACACTGCCTCTAAAGAGATTTTTTTTGCCGAAAATTGTCTTGCATTGGCTAAAGCTGCTCAGGTTACAAGAGATTCTTAGAATTCTGAGAGAGAATAAACCTTAACTTATACTATGTCCAGTTTTATTTACAGATGCCAATAATGTAAATAAAAGTAAATACTTATTCATCAATAGTCACTTATTTTAAATCACTTTGCATGTTTAAGTCAATTCCATATAAAATCTCATAATATTTGAGAAAGTGTTATTGGTGTTTTGTTGTTTAATATAAATAACTTTCATTAGTGACCTAATGTATATATCTAGACAATAACTTCTAGCTGTTGTTTAAACACCTAAAAGAATTGCTTACTATGCCTTATCTACTTTTAAGGTCCTGTTTATGGCTAAAATAAGGTACCAAAATATCCCCTAAAAATCATTTTATTCTGATAACATTTTAATAAATATTCTTAAATGTCTATGTCCATAAATTAGTCAATATTTTAATAATCTTATTCATAAAAAGTATGTAAAGTGCTCGTAAGAGAATAGAGCCCTAACTGGGCCACTAAACAATTTGCAAGTTACTTAGAACACTGAAGCCACAGTTTTCTTATCTAAAATGGCGCTTGTACCAACCTTATTTCTTATTGTGAAATCTGATTGCTTTATTTATTGTAATGTTTTCTTAAAGATATTTTCTACAAATATAAATTAGATATATGAAAATATAGATATAAGTATGTATATAAATGTGTGCATGTAGATATGACATACACACATTTTTCAAAGGTAAAATATAAGTAAGCTTTTTTTCTGAGAAAACAAAAAGTGGGAAGAGCACTGCGAACCTTCATGGAGAATGAAGTTCCTGAGAGTCTGAGAAAGAAAGCTGTGGAAAATAAAGACAGGCCTTCCCTTCCCTTCCCTTCCCTCCATTACTGTATTCTCTGCTGTGGTCTTTTAAATATTTTAGAAAGGCTTTCTGTTTCTTTTCCCTAGTGTACTCTTTCAGGGAACTTATTTCTTTCCTTGAACCCTTTAAACATGTTTTCTCTATTCTTGAGGTGGTTTAAATGGGATATATCAGTGTTTCAGCTTACCAATATTTCCAGGAATATAGGATGTTCTTTTGATCTACAGATTTATTCTTCTGTTATTTCAGATAAATATTATATTTTGAATAGAAGTTATTCTCTACTCTCCTGAATTTATTTTTTCTGAGCCCCATGGACACAGTAGACAAAGAAATTTTTGTCACTGTCTATGTTCCCATTTCTAATGAGAAGGCATTCTGATGCTTTGAGAAAGGGCAGATATAATAATGATGACTCACAATTAAGACCTTTGTCCTTTGAGACCTCCTCAGGAGGCATGTCCCTTTCATCCTTTAGGAGAAATATTGAAGAACAATTTGGAACATTTTTTCAATCTGGAGAAACCTAACAAGCACTTCCCAAGTATCACACCCTGAAGCAAATTTATTTAACAAGCTAGGAAAAAGCAGGCAGTGTGATAACGTGAGAACTTCAATTAGCAAGTTTTTAATTCCACCTTTCTACCCAAGTAAGAAAGTAGAAAACAACAATAAATTACATATGTGTTGGAGTTTCAAGGCCTATAAAAAAGGAATATAACCTATAAAAATGAATTTCTCCCAGAAAAAAAAAATTGTCCTGCTGTTTCATTTCATCCTTCTCAATTGGTGTGATCAACTCTGTCCACAACCTCTATTGGCTCTAAATAGTGAGAGTTTTTCTGGACTCCCTCCTTATCAAGTCAGAATTCTTTTTGTTTTTTCTTCCCCTATTCCACGCAGGCTTTGAGAGATGGAGCAGTAGTTCCATTCGCTTTTCTATGGTTTTGGAGAAAAGAAATGTTGCTGCTTTACAGACAGACTTGCACCCTGGATGACTTAAGTTTTGCTTTCTTTTTCAATATATTATTTTATCTATCTATCTATCTATCTATCTATCTATCTATCTATCTATCTATCTATCTATCATCTATCTATCTTTGGCCAGCATTCACTCCTTGCTGAGGTATATCTTTTTCCAATGAAAAGACACTTTTAGCTTTAGATTTTTTTTCCCCTCTACTTTATACTGGAGCTTAATTGTTGTTGTTTTTTTCTGATTCCACTGAAACCCCGCAGATCTTCCTAGTGATGAGTCAAGATGACTGCTCTCAAGGAATTCAGTATGACTTTCTGGGGCTGCCTACTCTCATTGCTCATCCACTTCTCTGTGATGGGGACTTAGTGATCATTCCCAAGGTTTTGTCAATTAATCATTCTTACCCTGGCAAGAGTTGGTGACACATGGTGTGGTCAGAAATGTTGCTAAGCTTTGCCTTCCCAGAATCTGCCTTTTATATGTGTAGATATCACTTTGGGGAGTTTCTGGCAAGACACAGTAGCCTATACTTTTTTGGTTGCTATCATACTACTTAACACTCCCCTAATTTTACTTTTTTTCCCCTTAGTTTCTAAATATTAATATTAAGGAAAGGAGATTCTAAAATCTGTCCTATTTTCTTATTTTTACATTGAAGAATCTTTATATTCCTGTGGAGGTCTTTAAAAAAGAACAGATTGATTTAAATGGGCTTATTTATACTTATTTTCAATGGTAAGTAACCAGAACTAGATACTCACAAGTTTGAAGAAATATATGACATCAAAAATTCAGTTTCTGTCGAGAATGTGTAAACAGAATATAAACTGATAGTATAAGGTTATGTTCATGACACTGAAATGTTTATACCAAATAATTGAGAGGATGGTAGTATCATAATTAGGAAAGCATATGTCATTCCTAAATAATAATATTGAGGCCACAAGTCATTGACTAAATTCATCCTCTGTTTTGTAGATATCATTCCAAGTACCAGAATTTTGATTCATTCTTTTTTTTCTACTATTTTTCTGTTCTTCATTTATTTTAATGTGTGTCTTTATGATTATGTTCCTTGTTCTGTTTTTCTCCCTTTCCTTTGTTTTACTTTGTTGTTCTTTTTTCTAGCTTTTGGAGTTGGAAGTTTAAATTAATTGTATTTTTAAATTTTAAATTTTTGTTAACACAGTATTAATACATATACATTTTAGTCTGATTATTGTTTTAAGTAATATAGGTGTTAAAACTGTCAGTTTTCCTCTATCATTACTGTAACTGTCATAAATTCTGATACATAATGTTTTGATTATCATTCCCTTAAGAACTTCTATATTTTCTCATTGTATTTTGCCATTACAAGAATTGTTTGATAGAAGGCTTTATTTTTGTGTGTTAGATCAGACAGTGTTTGCAATAGCTTCATTTTATAGAAATTATTGATATCTTCTTTGTCACTCAATACATGATCAACTTTGTAATTCAATACATGTTCCACATATAATTGAGAAAAAGATATATTATCTATTATCAAGTTGTAATGTTTAAAAAATATGTAGCCACGAGATCTGCTTTATTTTGACTATGGTATCTCAATATTCCATGTCTTTACTTATTTTAGTCTATGTGACCTGTCTTGTACTACAATATTGTGTTAAAGTCTATTATTATTCTTTTTATTGTGCTTCACATCTTCTACATCTTTACATCGGGCTGCTTCCTGCATGACCCTTTCTCCCCCCACCCCGCCCCCCCGACCAGGAATCAAACAGCCAACCTTCTGGTGCACAGGATGATGCCCAACCAACCATGCCACACCAAATTTCACCCACTCGGCCTCTAGCTAACTATAAGAGAGAATAATTGATCAGCGCCTCCTGCATGCACTCTTATGGGGTTTGAGTCCACAGCCTGGACATGTGCCCTGACATAGAATCTAATGTGACTTTCTGGTTCATAGGTTGATGAACCATTGTGCTATACTGGCCAGGCTCAGATTCGTTCAAATCATTGTATTTTTCTTGTGCAATTTTATTATTACATGTTTTTGTTCACTATTTTTTTTACAAAAGAAATAAAAATGAAATAGAAATACCACACAATGACATTTAATTTTGTTAACAAATGTTCTTGAGAAGTCTGGTAATGAGCAATTATTGGCAAACAATTTCTCATATTTCATATGACATTCATTCCTATTATACTAGAATCACATTATTTTTTGTATTTCTTTCTTCCTATAGTTACATCTATTTTTTGGCTTAAAAAATCTATCATTGAGTAATATTTATTTACTTGCTTGACCTCCATAATTTTCTTTATTACTAACTTATCATTATACTTTATATACTTTGTTGTGACTATATAATTTATCAATCTCCTGAGATCTTAAATTCTTTAAGAGCTAGGAACATATTTTATCTGTAGGATATAATAAGGTATTTAGCAATTGACAATGATTGTATGAATGAATTTTTCAACTAAACATTTAATAAATGTATTTTTTTTTAAGTTTTACATATGTCTCTTTTTCCCCAATTGTGTATATATTTCTTAACAGGTTTTTTTTTTTTTAATTCTTACAGTTAAAACTCAGGTAATGGGAGAAATCAAGATTGCATTGAAGAGAGAAATGAAGACAGATGGTGAACAACTAGTAGTTGAAATTCTCCAATGCAGAAATATCACCTACAAATTTAAATCTCCTGATCATTTACCAGGTATCTGATTTTATGTAAATGAGCAATATAATATGTATAGGAAATTTTTAGGAATATGTCCTAAATAGTTTGGAAACTATGAACTAAAGTTGGGCTGTATACCAAATATATCTGGGGAAAAAAGTGAAATAAGAAATTTCTGTTATATAGAATAAGTTGATATTTTATTGGCTTTTAGTGAGTTTTTTTTCCCCAACACATAAACTTGGTGATTCATTTATTATACAACTGGAAAACAAATTTAAATTGCTGAGAAAATTGATGTTACCTTTTAAACCTTTTATGTTGTCTGGAACAAATTGAACACAATCTGCTGGCTTTGTATAAATTATAAGAGAGTACTAGGTGTACAATTATAATGCTTTCAATAGGACAATGTATGATTAATGGAGACTTAACAAGCTGAATTCTTATTTTCAGATTTATATGTGAAAATATATGTGATGAACATTTCTACCCAAAAAAAGGTGATCAAGAAAAAAACAAGAGTATGTAGACACGATCGAGAGCCTTCATTCAACGAAACTTTTCGATTCAGCCTAAGTCCTGCTGGACATTCTCTTCAGGTATTTGTGCATCATACCGTTACAATTTAAACAGTACATGTTTTCCTCTCAGCTATTCAATATTTATGACCTTATCTTATACGATGTTATATTTTACAAAATGACTAATTCTTAGAGGTGTCTTTTCTTTAGGGGCCCTTTAAAATTCCACAAACAACACATCCAGTTAGCTACTAAGTCTTCTCTATTCTGTCATTTGTTTTATAGACAATTATTTCCATGCTCAATACCACGAATCCTCTTGGGGTTCTCATCTTTGTTATTCAAATCATTTCAACACTACATCTGGCCTACTTGCCATCAATCTTACCCTTTTAGTTCATTTCATGATGCTGATGGCTGATATATCTTTTTAAAACACTGGCTAGGTTACATTAAAGCCTTTTAAACACTTCCCAGTATCCTGATTCATTCAGAGTCCGCTAAGGTGAGTTCTAATTCATTTGGTTTTGTCTTATCTTTTTATATACCTTTCCACACACTATATTTCAGTCACAGCAGAATCTTTTCAAATAAGATTAAGCCTTGAATCCCTTGCTTATATTTTTGCTCTCCTTAAATAAGCTCTTCTCTAGCTCTCTTCATCCAGCATAGTATTCCACATCTTTTCATGTAAACTCAGCCCTTTACTGAAGAACATAATTCAACACTCTATTCATATAACATTTTGCTTATCTTATTAAGCAGCCAACCCCAATCTGTCTTGTAAAATAATTTATAGACTTCTCTGTCATTGCTTGTATACTAGCAGGTTCTCTAGGGCAAAGTCTTGATTTTCAGCATTCTTTGTTCCACCGCCTAATAAATGCTTGTACATATGTCTTCAGTAGATGTAGAAATAAAAAAAGTAAAAGAGGTCCAGCCAGCATGGCTCAGTGGTTGAGCATCAATCTATAAATCATGAGGTCATGGTTGATTCCCGGTCAGGGTTGTAGGCTTGATCCCTAGTATGGGACATGTAGAAGGCAGCCAATCAATTATTCTCTCTCATCATTAATGTTTCTATCTTTCTATCCCTCCCCCTTCCTCTCTAAAATTAATTAAATATATGTATATATATTTTAAAGAATAAAAGAGTAGCCCAGTCAGTGTGGTTCAGTGTTTGAGCATCCACTCATGCACCAACTGGTTCAGTTCCTGGTCAGAGCACATGCTGGGGTTGCTGAGTCAATCCCCAATTCTTCTTCATTGATATTTCTATCTTATCCATGTTTCTGTCTATCTCTTCCTCTTAAAAACCAGTAAAAACATATTTTTTAAAAATAAGTAAGGAAGGAAAAGAAGAAGGAAGGAATGAAAGAGATGAAAAAATATGGGAAAAGAAGACGATGGTACCAGCACTTAAAACAAAAGTCCTTGAGAGACAAATATAAGCGCTATTACAAAGCAAAAAATGAATTGAGAGAGTTAATTTACATTAGAATGAGAGAGAGAAAAAAGTGAAAGGAGTCTCTTCAGTCTGTGTGAACAAATGTCTTATTTAGAGAAATTAAGTAGCTAGAGAAGGGACCGAGAAGGACAATGATCATGAATTTGTGGAAAAATGATAAATTTGATGGGAAATGCTGTGCTATTCGTGTGCAAATCTTTTGAAGACATTCTTGTTATTAGTTCACTCACAAGTGTGCCTGCTACCAGACCTCGATCCCCCGTGTGGGAAGTCCCGTTACTGTTTGTGGGATTTCTTTGATGACAAATGTCCTTAAACAAGGTTGGAAAATATACACATGGATATATAATTTCGGCTCTTTTTTCTAGATTTTACTTTTCTCCAATGGAGGGAAATTTATGAAAAAGACCTTGATTGGTGAAGCCTGTGTCTGGCTTGACAAAGTGGATCTCAGAAAAAGAATAGTCAACTGGCACAAACTTTTGGTCAGTTCTACTCAAACCCATTGAAGAAACGTGTCTGCTCAGGTTATGGAAACTGCACTAAATGATCTCAAATGAAGACTATAGTTGGATACTATTGTATTAAGCTGTGTTTTCAGGGGTAAACGTGAGAGGCGAAACAACAGGCAAAAACATCCTTAAAGCCTTGTGAGTGTGTTGTGGTGAAACACAGGAAGAAACTCGATTGAAATGTTTCATGTGTGGAAGGCCAAACGGAAAAGAAGCCCTGACACCTTGGATTGCTTGCAGCTGTGAAGAAAGACAGTGAGAAAATGTTTGATTACTTGACACGAAAATCTTTGAGCAGAGTTGAGCTAGAGCTAAAGGCAGAGGCTTGAAGATTAAAAATGATTTCCAATGCAAACAAAATTAGCTCTTTATGCGAATAGTCCTTGGTTGAAAGGAAAGAACTGATGTAATAAATCTGTTTTCAAAGGTTTTCTTTTATCTCCTCAGACAATTTATTGTTCTGAGATTGTTACATAGGATACACCTACAATATGTATCCACGTCTAGAAATAAGGTAGTTGTGGTCATAGGAAAAAGAGAACCAAAAATGTATCAATAGAAATTATGGTTTTCTCTGTGTCTAAATGTTACAAGGGTAAACCACACTAATTTTGGAATCCATGTTGCAAAAGCACATTTGTACAATCTGAAGTAATGTAGAATGAAGATGATATTAAGTAGAAATGGAATTACATTTATCTAAAAATAAAGCCAGGATTGGCAAAGAAAGAATATTGCACCACAAAATGTTGGGACCTTGGTTGAAAACAAAATCTTCATAACTTACCCTTAAATCAAGACATTTTCATTCAACATACCCGAGGAAATAGATTAAATTGGTATGTACTAGGAAGCATGATAATTTTTTGTGTGGAATTACAAGTGAATTTATTATCTCACATATTTCATTTCTCTTGAGTGAGGTATTGACAGAGTGAAAATTATTCCTCCGGTAAACAAATCCTAGTAATCTGTGGCACTGATTCATTAAACTGGTGTCATTTTCTGCTTTTCCATAATTGTGTGTTTTTCTCTTAACACATTAACTGATTGTATAAGGAAAACCCTGACACCAGACTCAAATGATCTCTCTGCTCCATTTTCTCCTTTTAGTGACAATATCCCAGTGATCTAGTTTGTTCATATTGGGAAATATGTGAAATGTTAACATTATATTGAAGTTTAAATATAATTTGAGCTATTTTAATACTATAGAATGAAAGGACCAATGTCTAAGTTACTAAAAGGATGCATCCACTCCTCCATCAGCCAACATTACCAAAGGAAGTAACACACAGTTGTAGGAAACACACTCAATTGGGATTGAAAAGCCTGCCTTCGGGTCTTGGTTCTGCCACTGACTAACTGGGTCACCTTGCACATGTCACTTAAACTCACTTTCCCCCAGTGTCCTTATTTGTAGGATAAAAAATTAAATATGTCTAGCCTTCCTGATGGAATGATAGGATGATCAAACTAAGTGATCAGAGAGAGAACACGAAAGCACATTTCCAAGTATAGTTTTATACACATAAGTGAGGAATAATTATTACGCAGCTTTTTATTTTTCAAATTTTATATGCAAAAAGGCATCCTTCTAACCAATGGCACATGTTATCTGGGGTAAGAGCAGTGTATTAGTTCCTAAAAAGATTTTTTCACTTTAAAATATATTATACATTTTCATTTAATCTGAAAAAGTTGAAGAATTAAATTAAAAAATATTTGTAAATTGGGTTGTTATCAATTAACATACTGATTTTATCCCCTTCCCATATCTTATCCCAAAATAAATTAATTAAATTGCTTCTCAAAGCATTCTAATCTTAAATGCTGCTTTTTTATTGAAGGCTGAGGTTTTAGTGGATTTAGAGAAATCATCTCCAAATATATTATTTGGATATTGAATGTCCTCATGTTTAAAGAAATTGATTAAATGTAAAACATTAAAAGTAAAATAATTTTTTATTCCAGGTTATATATCTTTCATGAAAAAATACAAATTCACTCCTCCTCAGTCTAAGAAAGATAATAGTCATTTACTCTTTCCTCCATTTTTATTTATCCTTCCTTCCCTGACAAAACAATGCTGTTTACCATTGACATTTCTTTTAAATGAACATGCGTGGAGGGGATCACTCAAGATTTGATATTGCTAGGATTTTATTTTTAGAGGCAACTATATCTGTTGATGGTTGCCATGGATATTTCCAGCAGAAGTTAGCACTTTAGGAAGCTGATAATCACCACTCATACTTGGGGAAGGAAAGAGTTCAGAAAGATCTCCTTCTGACATAAAATGGGCTCTGCTACTTCTTTCCATTGGAAAGGAACTCAAGCTCACGTTAGGTCCTCTTCTGCAGCACTTACATCCAGAGGTACGCGGACAGGTTGTATAACCAGTTAGTTTACCAGTTGTTGCAACTTCTTTTCTAGTAATACAACTGAAGGTGCCACCAAAACCAAGAGCATCCCTTGGTAGCTATTTGACCTGTGAGAGGAGGAGCTTTTCCATTACAGGTGCCTCTCTACTCCAAGGAAATGGTGATCAGGCCAAGTCAATCAAGAGAGTTAACAACAGGGCTTCTTTTTGTGCACCAGCATCCCCCTTCAGAGAGCATGAGATCCTGCCGTGGTTTACCGAGAGTGCAGCTAACCACTCATAAGTTGTACTGGAACTATTCTATGCAACACTGATCCTTATGCGAATGCACTTCTGAATGATGCTGATAACCCTCTGTTTCTTTTTTTATTGTAATAGGGCTCTTGGTGTTTGTTACTTTTTTTGTATATATCACAGCACTCACTTTCCCACTTTTTATTTTACTTTATTTTTATTGAAATTAGCTTTTTTTTCTTTATCCTAATAGTGACGAAGTTTGTAATCTTCAAAATAACACATTAGTGCAGTCACATCTCTTATACATTGAAGAGATATATATTTAAAAAATCCTAATTTTCCCCAGTTTCCTCAAGTCACCAGGGACTGAAGTTGCTTCTTGGTTGAAAACGTGGTCCTCAACACCTTTTAGCTATAGAAGCAAAGGCACAGAGTACATTTTCACAAAAGTCAGGGACTTACAGAATGGTTGTTGCTGTCATAAATAACATTAGTTGCAAAAAGTTGGTGTTTCCCCTGTTCTTATAATACTTAAGATAAAGGAGGTTTTTGGTGACTGTAATTTTTATTTAGCATTTTAGTTTAAAGGAATAATATCCAGGACTAAGGGGCAGTGATTGCTTTGCTCCTTAAGGTTGCCCATATTGTAATTACTCACAGTAATAAGAGCATATTTTAAGCATCAGTGGAATTCATTTTGTGGAACACACACATTAAAATAGTCATATTGTGGGACTATAATAGCTGGTAACCAGCTGATATTGATTCTTATTATAGGAATAGTTGTGATGATAGGGTGATAACTGTAGTGACACTAGGTTGGTGGTGATGTGAGGTAAATTAAAAGTATACACTATATTGTGCCCAATTTATTAGAAATTATTTGATCAATGTTTCATTTCATTATGATATCATAAAGATATAGTATTTTTTTACTTTATTATTTAAATCATAACTGACAATATTTTTAAAAACTTATTTTCATTGCTACAATGTCTAATATTCCAAAGTCAGCCGACTACAGCTATATATGTTTATAACTCTAAGTGTGACAGAGTGGTGTTCCCTGAGAGGGAAGTGAAAGAAAGCTCAATGAATAATTATGAACTATCTCTTTAATAATTACTTGCCTTTAATGTAATACAAGAATGAATGAGTGAAATAGATTTTCCCATTGAATATAGAACATTGATATGTTCTGTATGTTCCATGTAGTTATTGTCAAAGATCCCCATTAAATCTAAATCATTTAATCAAATGATTCCTTATCTGATAGGTAGATTCAGAGCATTTTCTTAATTCATTGCCCTGTATATAATTATACATTTGGTAAATTAGACAAAGTTAAAGTATTCATTTCACTTGGCATTCAGCATGTGAATATGATTATTGTTTGATTGTGTCTATATATTTGTCGGTGATGTGCTCAGGTGCTCCCACTACCGATTAATGTGTGTGCTGATATCCTAACAAAAACACATCTGGTGTTCAAGAAAAACAAATTCTTGTCTGAAAAAGAATAAAAACCAAATAAAATTGTTTTCAAGATAAAAAATGAAATACTTGGAAATATGTCTTGTTTATAATTATATGTTGCATGCCACGTTGGTGATTTGCTAATGTGTTTTTCTTTTCTGTTCTATTCAAATCTCTCTGGAAAATCTAATGAACAAATTCTTGGGCTAAAGGTTATATAAATTGAAATGAAATACATGAGAATTGAATTTAAAAATGCTTGTAAATCTGTCTTGAGTTTTACTTTATGTGAAAATATGTCTTGGTTTTGTGATTGTATACAAGATGTATCTTAATAACTTATGCAAATTGTGCTGTTTAAAGGCTGTGGCCTCAGCCTTACAAATAAATATTGAAAACATCAACATTGACTTCATGTGGTTAACTTGATAAATTGATATTTAACATATAAATACAACATTTTGGAACATTTTCTGTGAAAAATATATCATTAATGCACTTACCCACTTTAAAATATATTTTAAACACAGAAGAAATACAAAAAAACAATTAAACAAATTTATAGCTTAATTATATGTATGATGCTCTTGTAATCACCACTCATATCAAGAAATTGAACTCAGCCAGCCAATTCATAAGACATTTTAACCCATTTCTATCACAATTCCCTCCCAATCCCTTAAAGCAACCACTATCTTGATATTTTGATAATTATTTTCTGGTTTGTTTCTGGCATCTGCCTACTAAACACTAGTGTAGTTTTCCTGTTTTATCTTTAATGTGTTTTATAAGCCTCATCTAGTCTACATAGTCTCCTCCCCACCCCTTCTTTTTTAATGAATCTTATTTTTTGAAGAAACTTGGTCTTTCTATCTGTGAGATTCCTTGAAATCTGTATTTTGCTGACTGCCTACTCAGAGCCTAGTTAGGAGTTCCTCTCTCTCCGTATTGCCTGTCACTTGCTCTTTTGCTGTACAGGTCTAACCTGGTTCTCCATTAGGAGATGCATGATGTCTGGCTGTCTTTTCATTCTGTTCTCATTTGGTTTGGTTGTTCATGCTTTCTGTTGCTCAATGCCTAGAATGGGTCCATAAATTCATTAGATGTTACAAAATGTCAATATTCTATTCAATCATCAGTTCTACTTGAAATAGCTTTAAAAAGATAAACTTTCCCTCAACCAATATTTAATTATGCAGTAGTATAGTTTTTATAGAAAAGTTGGGTAGTGTCAGAGAAACATGAACAAATTTTTCTCTATCTAGTTACCATTTTTTGAAAGAACTAGATTATATAGTAAAAATAGATTTCCAACAATTTGATTATTTGAAAAGATCCATGAAATTAACAAATCTATGACAAAAGAGAAAGGCCAAGTAAATCTCATCAGGTATGAGAAATTAATATAATTGCCAATATCCAAAGCCAAAACTTACCAAGCAATCAAGCAATGCATAAAAGTGATAAGAATCAAGACCAAGTTGAATTGTCCAGTTTACACAAGATTATCTCAATGTTGAAAAACAAATTAATGAATTTCAGTACATTGGTAGTATATTAAAGTATATAATAACATGCTGAAAATTTTTTGCTAAAAATAAAAATCTATTTTTAATAAAAACTGTTATAGCACACTTGGAGTGGAAAAGTATTCTTTAAATCTGATGAATATTACCTACCAAAGGGAAAAAAAAAATCTTGCTGGTAAAATGACTGAGGGCTTTTCTTTTGTGACCGGAAAAAAACAAGTATGCCTATTACCATAATTTTTTTCAGTATCTTTCTCAGAGTTTCTAACCATCGTGTCAAGGCCAGAAATCAATACAAATAAAGGAATTAGAAGTAAAGAAGAGAACTATAATTATTTGTAGATTTTATGTCTTTGTATATAAAAATTTTAAAACAACAAAAAATTTCTTTGAGAATAGTATATGAGAATTTGTTAAGTTTACTAAACATAAAAACTATAAAATACAAAAATAAATTTCTTTTCTGAAAGTTGGAAAACAAAAAGTTCAAGACAATTTTTAATAGCATCAAAAGTATCAAATACCTATTAACTAAGAAGTTCAAGACTATCTTTAAAGAAATTAATAAAATTATTGAGATATTGATTAATACCTAAATGCAATGTTCATTGATTGAAAAATTGAATGAATATTAATTATAGTTGGTATGCAAAGTGCTGAAGCCCCAGAAAACCTCAGCATAATTTTTGTAGATTCTAAATAAATAACCAGAGGACTGGCTGTGAAGGAAATGAGTTTGTACATGTGGTGGCTGACAAGTGAAATTGTCCTGCTAAGCTCTGTCCGGCCTGCTGACAGGCCACACCAGGGACAGCCAGCCAGTGTTACTGTTTTGCTGCCACCCGGACATTCCCAACACGAGGTGTTATAGAGCACAGAAAACAGAGAATGAACTTTCAAATAGCATGGATCTATTGAGTCACTATTTGGAAAAAAATAATATTGAGCCTTGTCTCTCACAACTTAAAAACGTAAATTCCATATAATTTGAAAAAGAACTTTATAAAGCATTTAGAAGATAATATAGAAAAAATAACTTCATATATTTGGGGGAGGAAAAGATTAAACAAAACATACTGAACAGCTATGAAAAAATTAAAGGCTTCTGTTCCTTAGATGCCATAAGAAAGTTGACAGGGAAAGAAAAAAAAATTAGGAAAGATATTTGACACATAAAACAAAAAAGGATTAATGTCAAAAATACATACAAATCAGAGGAAGAAGAAAAGCAATGTAATGGAAATAGAGGAAAAAAGCTTGAACAGGGACTTCAGATGAGAAGAAAGATCATTGGTTAATAAACATATAAATAGTTGCTCAACCTCATTAGTTTTCAGAATGCACCAGTGCACGGGTGGACACCTTCATACTGCACCAAAGCACCACCCGACTACCAAAAAATAAATAAAAAATCCATGTGTGGCTGGACCAACCCTTGTGGTTCTTATGACTTTAAGATTCCCTTCACCAAAACCATCAGGAAACCTTGAAAAGACACAGGTTTATTGCTTATAAGACCTGGAAATTACACAGCGCACTTGGAGCCACACAGCAAAGCACCAGGTAAAGAGGATGCAGGTGGGCCTGGGTTCTGCTTTATTTGGGTCAGAGTGGGGCCTAGGATTTCGCAGGCTCACGCTTTACTGGTGAATTTAAAGCAGAAGAGCGGGAACTTAAAGTTCAGGACGAGAAAACAAGTAGCTCAAAAGGTCAGTATTGAAATCAACTCTAAAAGCCGAAGTGGCTCTTCAGTCTCATAGCTGGCAAAGTGTTTATTTCAGTCTTTGAAATGGATGCCTCTGCCATTTCAATTTAAAATCATGTGCTTGCATTATAAAAAAAACGGGGGGGGGGGGGGCGGACATGTCAGGGCTTGCCCTACATCCATGCCTTATATTTCATAGTTTAAAATGTATTTTTTTTAAAAGAGCAAGGGTAAATGGTGGTTAACTGCAATTATGCTTTTTGAGAAAGAGATTGAAAATGTGTTTGGCAAAACGAGGCTAATTATAACGTGTAGGCTGGTTCTGTAGAATGATGGGGACCGAAACCAATTTTGACAAATGGACTCAACAGGAATTTGAATATGTTTAGACATTTGGATTTTTTTCTAGGGCAGACTGAAAATGTTCAGGCAGAAGCTGACACTGCAATCTACAGGTAGAATTTCTTCATTTTGGAACCTAAGCTTTTTGAAGGTTTTTAAAGTCTTTCAGCTGATGATATCTGGCATGCCCACCCAGGTTATTGAGTATAACCTCCTTACTTAAAATCAGCTGATTAGAGGTGTAATTTATCTCTACAAACTATGGTTATACCTTCCTTTATTGTGCTTCGCTTTATTATGTTTCAAAGATGTTAAGTTTTTTACAAAGTGATGGTAATACCCACCACCAGCCGGAAGATTACAACTTGATTAATTGCCATGACCTGGAACTGAACCTGCAATATCTTCCCGGTTTGTCTGTACCATCACAGCAATGCCTCAAGTGGTGTTTGAATGAATTACTGTGTACTACAGCCTAGCCAAGTATGAAGGAGAAATATAAAGATTTTTCTTGGTTGGTCAGTTGATTTGGTTTGGTTGTTAAGATGGGAGAGGACTGAATAAATTGCAAAGTCATTGGGAAGAATATATTTGAGAGCGAGTATTCTCCCTCTACATATAGAGAAAAGGGAATAATAAATTCTAGTGTACAATATGGAAAGATGAACTCTAAATACTAGTTCAAGAATTCCTCTTTAAGAGGACAAAGGATAATTTCTCTAATGGTTGGTTCCCAGCTCTCACTACATATGATAATCATCTGAAGAACTTCAAAAAGTATGGATACCCAAACTCCAACCCAGACCACTTATATTATCATCTCTGATTGTTGGACTCAGGCAGAAGAATACTGGTAAAGTTCCTCACATGCTGTCAAGGTGTGGCAAGTTTTTTGTTTTGTTTTGTTTTTTAATATATTTTTATTGATTTTTTTACAGAGAGGAAGGGAGAGAGATAGAGAGCTAGAAACGTCCATGAGAGAGAAACATCGACCAGCTGCCTCCTGCACACCCCCTACCAGAGATGTGCCCGCAACCAATGTACATGCCCCTGACCGGAGTCGAACCCAGGACCTTTCAGTCCGCAGACCGATGCTCTACCACTGAGCCAAACCGGTTTCGGCAAGGTGTGGCAAGTTTTAAACTACTATCCTAACAAAAGAAAAAGAAAGGGGGATTAGTGCAGGCTCAGACAGATTGTAAATGATCTGATACAAGGAGGTTAAGAGCCTTTCATATGATGGCTATGATTTTCTCAGTGAGATATGATATGAGGGCATCCGAGTGAAGAGGAACTGATTAACCATTAGAGATTTGAAGAGAGTGAAGGAGCTATAAAGTAGTCCTGAAGAAGAGTGGGAGAGTATGTAGGAAAGAAGAGTAAAATGCTGTGCTATACTGAAAGCTCTTTGGAGCTTAGTGAATATACACAGTGACATCAATCTGTCTTGTCACATGATTTTCCCCATCTTGTTTTATATATAAGAGCAGAGAACAAATAAGGTAGATTTTAAAAAGACTGAGTTTTACCAGATAGATTAGACAAAAAAGATAGATGTGCAAAGGAGTTCTGATCTCAGGACAAATTAATTAGACCATAGGCTGTGCAATTGTTAAAAATGGGAGTTTAATAAAGAAAGGACAAGACTGGTGGACTAGGAAAAGGAAACAAATTAATTGATGATACTGTGTTGTGCACTAAAATTCATTGAGGGGATAGATCTCATGTAGTGTTTTTACCATGAGGAAACTTTGGAGGTGATGCATAAGTTTACTACCTTGATTGTGGTGTTGGTTTTATGGGTATTTGTTTGTATATGTCCAAACTC